GAGAGAGAGAGAGAGAGAGAGAGAGAGAGAGAGAGAGAGAGAGAGAGAAAGATATATAGATAGATGTGTGTGTGTAATATCTATTTATCTATCAATATATATTTGTATTTATATATGTATGTGTGTGTGTGTGTGTGTGTGTGTGTGTGTGTGTGTGTGTGTGTGTGTGTGTGTGTGTGTGTGTGTGTGTGTGTGTGTGTGTGTGTGTGTGTGTGTGTGTGTGTGTGTGTGTGTACATACATATATGCATATATACATACATACACATACATGTATACATAAAGAAAAAAATATATATATCTATATCTATCTAGGTATCTATCTGTCTGCCTCTCTATCTATCTAATGCCTCTGTGTGCTTGTGTACATAAGTATATATAAGGAAGTATAAATATTTTGTGTACATACACAAAAACACACGTTTAAAAATAGGTATAAGCACATACATCACAACCATTCAAAATAGTCTCTTTGTTCACCTTGTTTAATATCAAAATACCCCTCCTACTAACAAAATGAAAAAAAATCAGTTTATGTAATGTCTGTGTGCCTGGGAAAACAGTGCAAAATAAATGTAAATAACAATATTGTTTTTCTTGTTTTTTTGACAATGTGACCAAAATATCCTAATTTTCAGTCAATGAATTGATTTGAGTGCAAGGGTTATTGTTCTGGACAATTAAATTTGAAGGTACAATTCATAAAATGCATGCAGACATGAAAAGGAGGAGATAAAAGAAAGAGTGAGAAATAAACAATGGAAACCAGAAACAAGAAAAAGGGAGAAAAAAGGTGTTTACCGTATAGGTCCATCAAAGTTATGAAAAGATCACCTTTGAAACATAAGTACTCATTCAGGCCTATATAAAATCAGTTGCCATTAGACTAATTCTTACAAGGTATCTCCATTATATTTACTAATATAATCCATCTTCATTATATTCACTAATATAATCCAGTTTCTCTATATTTACTAATATAATTAATTTACTTACTTCTCAGTCTAAAGGCAAAATAAATATTTAAGTAACATAAAACATCAAACCACTGGCTGACTGGTTCTGAACCACAATAAGCTATCTTCATACAGACTAGCCACAGTAATGATAACTTGCATGATAATATATTTTTATGGCAAATACAGTAAAGCTATTGTAATACAAAATACTTTATTCTAGTTGAATAATTTGAATCTACTATTGTAAGTTACTGCTACTTTGCACTACATTTTAGCAGTGGAGTCTTGCAATGAGTTAAGCCTAATAAAGCATTTAATTATAGTAGAACAAACCAGCTCTAAACATCAACAAGAACATATTACAATGTATGTGTTTATTTCCCTGCAATCATCAAAATATCATTCTGCTCATCTAGAGAGACTAGTAATTCTTGTTACAAATCATATTTAAAGAAATTAATAAATGAATAAAATCAAATCAAACTCAAAAATACCTATTTCAAATGTTACAATAATGTGTAGCAAAGTTATGAAATCTAACACAAAATAGTTTTCTTTGAAACTAAAATTATACCAATAATTAGCATAATAACAACAAATTTGGTTTCTTTCTATCTTGTTTTCAAGTAAGAAAAATACGGTCTATGTCTTGAACAATGTACAGCACCCTTTTCCCTTTTAAAGCTTACTAGTGATTTCCAGTAGAACCATAATCAGCCGAAGATATGGAAGCTGTGAGTGAATTCCTCTGACCCTGGGACTCAGGCTCTAGCACCCGCAGGTAGTCCTCATTCCCTCGATACAGAATGTAATGCTGAACCATGAAGAATATATCAAAAATGATCGAAAAAAGCCCAAGTCCAAACTTGGTTGGATCCCCAAATATAGATCCCCAGTCATTATAATTGTAAGACAGGATGAACATCTGGGCTATGGAAAGTGATCCACCGGTGAAGTCTAGCAAGATATTGCCGATGCTCCAGCCTGAAGTGCTTTTCCTGCGGTAGTTGTAGTAGGCCTGTTGGTTAAAAATGTTGGTCTGAGAATATTTACTAAATAATTTAATGTACTTACTATATGATAATAACTAAGAGATATTTGAAGAACATAAGTTTGAGGTATTAATTGTTGTATTTCTCTCTTTGTATCTAAGGAATTTTGTATTCCTGTATTCAGACTACACATCCCCTTCTAGCAAAGTAGTTTGATTTAAAATGCAGTATTTTTTCTTCCTACAAACATTTCTTTAATTACCAGCTACTCTTTTATACACCTAAAGTATTTGTCTTCCTCCAAATTCCTTAGTAAAATTTATAATAAAAACAAAAATCTCCTGGTAATGAGTTTATAAATCTAACTTAATATTCCTGATATTAAAGACACACAAGCTAAATCCATACAATGTATCAGGCATTGGAAATTTCACAATACCTATTCCAGTTGATATATGCATGTAAAAATATCAAATGAAATGAAGTCATCTTATTTCCATCAAGTAACATTATATTTATTGGAGTAACAATCTGGCATTATGCATTTCAATCTGTATTTAAGCACCATCTTGGTGAAGAACACAAAATAGATAATATTTAGTATAAGAAAATATAATCAGCCAAAAGTTAAGGCAAGCTAACATTTATCTATAAACCCAATGCCGACGGGCATGACTTGTACGTACATGCCATGCCCACTGTGAGTTTACTTGTTTAATTGTTTTTACTCATAAATGGATACCCTTGTACTAAGTTACTAATGAACCAATAACAAGTACTGCCTGTCTCGCCCATTTACCCTTTCCCTTGATTTATGAAAATATTTTACACTATCTTATTTTGCCATTACTAATGTTTATAACATTATAGTAATTATAATGCTTATAATAAAAATAACACAATCAATATTTATAGATTTAGTAAAAAATACATTTTTTCCCCCAATTCAAGGAAAGGTGAAATCTGGTAAGGTCACAAGGTCTACTGATTGACTCCTTTGTGGCTAAGCACTAGCAGAGCCATATATGTGCATGCAGAAACATTTTATAAAAATATAAAAAGTGAGCACAGCATTTTCCCCATTTTTTATTAATCTTCCCCAGCAGCAATGGGTTAAAGTCAACTGACTTTACTCAACACACACCTCCACTACACATGACCTGGCAATACAGCATGGAGGCCTCCCTAATACTTTATCAAAACTAGGCATTATTCAGCCAGAATATACATAGTAGAGATTTCTTTGCTTTTACCTGAGAGTGATGTGTTAAGGCTACAATCCTATTAAAAAAAAGAATCACTGAAACAGTTCATATAACCTACGAAAACTAAAATAATGGGACCTGAAATATAAATAGTTTTTGTGTCACAAATATTTTTGAGCCAATAAATACTTTTACCAGTATTATAATACTCATTATTATTCATAGGGAACTATAGCCGAAATAATGAAACATTCAAATAGCAAAGTATCTTACAGGGTAGTGAATTGTCACGGATTGTTTTTGCATTCAAAAATACATTTTAACAGTAATTCTGTCTGAAAAACTATAACAATACATACCTGTGGAATGTACTTGATAAGGGTGATGAAGAGCTTGACATATGACATGAAATACAGAAAGTCAAGCCACTGGATAGCTGATGCAGCTCCCAGAATAGTCATAACTAATGAAGAGAGAGTGATTCCTGTCAGGATGTATCTGGCTGTCAAGGAAATTTGCTGGTCTCCACGGTCATATATAAAACACTGGAAGACTTGAATCCCACATGCGAGGAAAGCGTGGAGTGAGAAGATGACATCATTCAGCTGCACGGGGTTCACACCATAAGGATGTCTCTTGAAATAGTCTGCTTCTATGGAGGGTATCCAGTACAGACAAACATTGAAGAGACTGTACACAAAGAACCCCACAATATTTAAGGACAGAAAGTCAAAATGCAAGCCAATAACACTTTTTCTCCTCCAATTAGAATAGGTTTGTGGGTAAAAGGACACTGACCATGCCACAAAGTACATCCAGCCGACCACATCACTTGCATAATCGAGGGCATCTGAGTGGGACACTGATATTCGCATGAAGGCCTTAGACACATCAGTCATGTTGCCAGGCAGAGCTTTTGTGACTATGACACTGTGGCCTGCATTTTCTGCCATTAAGTTGAGAGTAAATGTCTCGTTCAAGGCTCCAACCGGAAGGGTAATGTTAGGCAAGGGCTGTATCACATCTTTTTCCTGTACGAAGATCAACGTCGTGTTTTCCTCTGCTTCCCCTGTCACCACGAGAGTTATATTGGTGCTCTCATGGTCCGAGAGGACAACGTCTTGCGAAGTGAATTTGCAGACAGAGGTGAAATTCCCATCATAGACCTCCACCTGGATGACTTCAATGGCAGGTGTCTCGGCAGCTGTTCCAATTAATAAGAAACACAAGTGCAGAGCCAACATTCGCATGGAAGCTCCTGCTGAGGCTGAGGCAGAGGACGACGTGGCTGCCATGATGCCTTCAGGGGGTTTACGACGCTAATTCTTCCTGGACTTACTGAACTGTGATCTGAGCCCTCTTCACGAACACACATACTGTCATGTGACTCATCGGGCGCAGGAACGACAGCACTACGCAACTTACACCTTAGACTCTACTACACCCCCATGTCAGCTGACTTTCTCGCTGTTTATCACCGGGTCGCGTACTGAATTAACGTTTTATTATCATTAGATTGCAGGGAAGGTATCGTTATTACTCTCTTAATTCATAATAGAGATAATCATGAAGATATACAGGCATTGTGCTGAGAATCATCGTTAGTGGGCTTTATAAAGAGGATGTTTTCAACTCCGGAAGTATGAACCGGATATAAATGACTGTGGATCTGTGCAGCTCGCCAAGGTTGCGAGGGAAGGCCACACCACGTAATGTGTGGCAATTTGCAACTAATGGAGCAATACTTTTAGATAGCTAGGGCAGAAACATTAGAAACATTAACCATTAAAGTTAAAGGAAAACACACATTTATGAAATCAGTTATACATTGTGACTATGTTGCCA